ATTGACGAGTTGATACGGATCAACGCTCTGCCGTCTGCCTATGCTTTTATGCATTAATGCATTATGGCTGAGCTGAGAGATGAACCTATCATTTGCTTGTGAATTTATTTCTCAGCTTCTCTCAGCTCAGACATGAGCGCTCCATACACGCGTCCCGTTATGATTGATTTCTTTGCCCGAAGTAAAGCTTTGCTAATTCAGCTAACTTAGTTGTTCTCGACTTGGAAAATATTGCAGAGAATCTGCAGAGTAATTCATATATGCCCCGTAACCACGTAAACCTCTTAAACTTACTTAATTTTGTATGAAAAACTGGTTTATTTACGAGATTTACGCGGTTATGAGGCATATGCGCGTTTTAATGAATACCCATTGTATGACTTTGGAAGTTAGAAGGGATTTATTTGGCCTGTTAGGCGTATAAGTAATTGGTTTTAGATGAAGGCACTGAGTAAGGTTTCCTTTCTAATCTGTCTTGATTTATTTATTACACAGGCCGACAAAATTTTTACCCAGAAACCAGACTAAACTTTCCCGTAGGTTTTCGGTGCGCTGAATTCAAATCTGGCCACAGAATTGCTCTATCACATCAGGATTTTGAGATATTCTAACCTATACGTGCAAAAGATGCCGTTTTTGCCCATTTTTGAAGTTGTGTATGCAAGCCAGAGTAATATTTGTAAAAAAAAAAATACAAAAAAGGTGTTAAAGTAAAAGTATTTCTCTTTGAAATGGCGTTGAGTTTGCTCAAATATCTTTTTGCTTCGCTGAGATATTACAATTTTAAGATTAAAAAATTCCCAAAAATCGACGGTATTTTGTAACTGCACGAAACTTGCGTTTTATACTACTTTAATTTAGTGGGCTATAAAACTGCGTACATCAAATTTTTCTAAAAATGCTGAGTAAAAAGTTTGAAATTTGGGCAAATTTTGTTTGCATTTTTATAATTCTTGTACAAAGTTTGAAATGCGCATTTAAATGCAGTTAATTATATGTGAAATAAGGTAGACTTTTATAAAAAAAATTTAAATATTAAATAAAGAAAAGAAATATATACTAAACTGGTTGAAATAAGGTGTTTCTTTTATGTCTGCCACTAGTAATATGAACTTCTTTCAGCCACACAATACATACGTTGACTTAAGTTTATTTTACATCGAGCTTTTTTCGACATGCCTTAAGTTACTTTATCAGATAAGCACACGCTAAAGTATTTTCAAATGCGTATACATTTAATTATTGTCTTTTGTTTTGTTACTAGTGAAATATTTTACAACTTAAATAATAAAGTAGGTTTCAAAACCATTTATTTATTATTTATTATGTGGTAGGGCAGCTTCTCAAACTATATTGATAAAATTTTTTCATGTTAAGTTGTTGGAAAATAATAAATATCTAAATCCCGGGATTGTATGAACAATGTCCCGAAAATCCCGGGATCGCAAAAGTCGAAAAAAGTAACATCCCTAATCTGAGAGTCAGATCCGGGCCCGAATGGCGGCACCCGTAATCGAAATAGCAGACTAGTGTGATCGAGTGCCGTAATCTGAAAGTGAAAATTTGAATCGAGCAGCCGTTCTATCACGCATACTGCGACTCAGGCCTAGGTTTCGTTTTAAACAACCGTTAATTCACTCGACAATTTGCCTCGGCCCCGAGGTAAATGCTTCAGTGATTAAATTCTTCATGCCTTCGTATGTTTCTAAGAAATCTCAACATCTCCGAAACTTACCGCATATTTAATTTGTTGGCCAACTCGATGGTGAGCCGGTTGTTTACTTTCGAAATAGTGTCGATATGCCGCAATGATATATCCTCGATATTCGTAAACAAATCGGGAAAAGCAATAACAAGTCCCGTTTTAAAGGTGATACCCTCCAAGTTTTGGCGATAGGAAATGGCTGAACCAAATTTTTGAAGCGCCTCCAATAAATCGTTGACATCGCGCATTTGTGGCACACCCATTTTAGCATATTTCAAACGCTTTTCTGCGGCAACTTTATACACATCGAGCATAGCGAAGGATTGCGTTGCTGGCTGCCGCACCATAACCCGCACCTCACCATCAGGTGGCAGAAATATTTCCTCATCATCGAGTAGTGAAATATGTGCCTCATCAGCGGTGAGTAGCAACCAAAAGCGATTTGTGGTGAAGTAGTTGTTTTCGGAGGCAGCGGACCAGCGTAGCACATTAAGCGCACAGGCGTTGGCGAATTCCAATAACAGAATGCCGGATTTATAGGTGAATGGCGGCAGATGCAAGCGCAATGGACGACGTGTACTATTATCGCTTCGAAATGTGCGCGGTGGACCAAATGTAGCAGAGCCTTCAGTGGCTGGACCATTCGGAGTAGCCTTAGTTAGTATGTTGGACTCATAGAGCCGCCCAATTTGCTCGCTGTCGTCATAGTCCTGGCCATTGAAAATACGCGTTGGAAATCCATTGGCAATAAATTCGAGTAACAGAGACTTCAAGTTTCGGTACCCAGCGGGAGCGACTGCAATGATGGAAGTAACGAAAGTAGTTTTTTTTTATGTCGCATCCAATGCATTTGTATTCATGTTTGTTTTCGATTCAAAATACTAGAATGAAAATTTATGACCGCCAAGCGTTCGATGGCTCAGCTATTGCTTTATGAGCGCGCTTCTTACATATGAACACATTTCTCCCGCGCCATTATTTTCCATGCTTACCAACATCCTCTGGACAGACAACCAATAGTATATTGTGTACTCCATGCCAGCGAAAATATTCCATGAAAATATGCGCGTCGTATGTTAGTGTGGCGACATCGGCTGTAGATCGTTCTTCCGCTGTTAAATTGGCCGGGTGTGTTGCGCTTGCCAATTCAAGGGCCGTTGCTTGGTGAGGAGCGGCGGCGATTGAAAATATGTAGTAAATTAGTAGCATGAAAAGCATGTTGAAATTCAACAGCTCCATATTCGTGCTACCAGTTGCAAGTGTTGCAGTATTCGCGTGCGCTTTTTATTCGTTTTATTTTCTCTTCGAATCACTGACCCATTTTAAGGGCCTAGTTTATGCGATTATGGCAACCAGGTCGTGCAGTTGTTGCATTTTATAGCGCTTCAGATGCAGGTAGCTTCTTTGTGGGCGCTTAAAATTTGTGTACATGTATTGGTTAATGCTTCTTCTCTTGCGTTTTTCATAGTACGTTCTTGTGCTTATTATTCCAATTATAAAATGTTGTACAAAATTGGACGTGTTGAGTCGCTCGTTAAAGGAAATTGCAGGCAATTTTGTGGAAAATTAGAGTATGTGATTTATGTGTAAAAACTGCGTATATTCTTTAACCCCTTCAGAACCAAGGCAAACATGTTTCTCAAATGGTCCTGCTCTCGCAAGAATATTGTGTCCATTTGGCAGTTTTGTTTTTATTTTTTATAACTTTATCTTAAAATTTAAGGAAAAATATTAAAAAAAAGTACCAAAGATTGGTAAATACATACATAATATTTTCCCCATTTTTTTTTTGAAAATATTTTTTCAGGGATTCTAGGAAAAATACTTAAAACATATATGATACATTTTAACCATTTATTAGAAAAAATTATTTTCTGAAAATGTTAAAGGCGTTCAGCTTTAAGTATGAACTTTTATATCTTTGGAAATACTACAATATAACCTATTAAGAAAGTTTTAAATTAAACCAATTATAATTTGTCTTTTCAACGTCGGATTGTCTTTCCATTTCTCTTCTTCCTTCGTTTGACATTGAATATTTAATTGAAACAACATAGAAGATACCAGATCTTTTTGTATGACGAAAGATATGCAAGTATATATATTATTTTTGGAAGCCATGTGCGTTTTGATAATTGATTGATATCAGAACCTACCTCTGGAAAATTTCGAGCTGGGCTGGTTCGGAAACCAAAAATTGAATGGCGGAATTGTGATTGAATATTTAGTGCCGCGCCCATCGCTTGTGCGAACCTCTCAATCACCACGCACATACATATGTTACGACTTAGATAGTTTATGAATTAAATAAATTGACGATAAATATTTAAAAATCGATAAACATGTTAATATCAATAATTATGTTGATAAAAAACTAATATAATGCCAGTTTCATCGTTAAATTGACAAACATGTGCTGATCAATATAGAGTAAATAAATTTATCGATAATTCCGATAAACATATAAAGTAAAATAAATAAGTTTATCGATAATTCAGATAAACATATACAAATGTTTGTGTATTGATAACGATATTGTCAAAAATGCCATAATAATAATCTCCGATAAATTTATCGATTGATACTTACAACAAATTTTTTCAAAAATCTTGCATTTTTTCATTGTATACTTGATACCATAGATATAATGTGGCATCAATCTACATTCGATGCGAATATACTTTCTACCAAAACCTCGGTATTTGAGGCATATTCACGCTCTCTTCTTAAACGACTTCCAAAAAGGAGGAGGTTATCAGTTCGTCGGAATATTTTTATTTTTTATATTTTTTATTTTTATGTTCGTTAACGCATAACTTTGGATCACGTCAACCGATTTCGATAATTCTTTTTGCATCGGAAAGGTAGTGTCTCAGTGGTGGCCCCAAACTAATGAAATATATATAAATATATTTTTTTATATGAGAATTGAAGTCGGTTTTGTTTTTTGCTTAAAAATTACTTGTTTAATTTTATTTTTGTTCATTTAATAAAAAGTTGTTTTGTTCTCATTGATTTCGCAACCAAGAATAAAAACTCTACGTTGTTTTAAAAACGTTCATTCTCGCATATGAAAACCATAAACAATAAAATAATTTGAAAAAATAAAAAAAATAAATCAAACCTATCCGCCAACAACTAAAGTTTTTACCCATTTTGGCACATGTAACATGCAATTTTCCACTGTCAAAACTGCACGCAAACACCAATCAACGGTAACAATAACAATCGAACAATCTGTGTGTGCATTTCAAAATATTTTCTTCAAATTTTTCTTGTTTTTTCTGCATATTTCCTCTTTTTTTTTCAGTGCCACAGTTGCACAGAGCTTTAGCCATAACGCTTCGGTCGTCAGTCAGGATGCCAATTGCAAACTTATTTGTTTTTGCAAGTAGTAAGTATTCAGTGAAGGGTAAGTAGCCTGCACATGTTGCAATGTGCGCAAGTGATTGCAAAGCGGAAAAAGTGAAAAATTGCAAAAGCCCGTGCGATTGGAAAACTAACTAACTATGTATGTATGTAGTTGGCAGACTTAATTGACAGCAAGACTTTTCGCACTCAACTATAAGGAAATAATGGAAACATAATTAAGAACAGATTGAGATAAATTCAATTGAAGCGAGTGAAAGATTGTTGGCAAGTGTGAAAAATTAGTTTATTAAAGAGTTTGTAATTATTTAAAATTGGTTTAAGAAGATTTAATATTGCTAAGGTATAGATATATGTAAATAAAGTAAGTTGAAGTGATAGCGAAAGCGTATGATCTGCAGCATATCTATAATTTTACGCTTTTTACTGTTTAAAATTTTTAATATTTCTTAATTTAATTTTTTTTTCGCATGCGCTTCGCTTTGCTTTCAATTCCACTTGTAACGCAGTGATGCTCAATACTTACCGTCACATTCAGACAATGCTTGTCTCCAATTCAATATTACAAAATAAAGCGCTGCAGTGCATAAAAATTGATATTTATTTTTCATTTTCCTTATATTTACCAAGAATACATATTTTCAAATTTCTTGATAACAAATATTTATGTCTATTCGTGCAATATGCCATTCTTTGTGTTTACAATGCGTGCCTTCACTGCGGCATTTCGATTGCCATATGTTGCGCCATGAAGTTGCCACAAAGGACTAATATTTCTAGACATACTGACATTTTTACATAAGGATTAAGGTGGTGTTTTGCTTCACAAAAAAAAAAAAAAAAACGAAGGCAATTTCAAATCGGCAACTGACATTGGGTTTGTTTTTGCCGCTGCATTATTTGATTTGAGCAGCAAATATTGCGTGTAAATATGAGTTATAAATTATGGTTTTTTACTAGGTATCATTATGTAGCTATAAAATTAGATAGTGGAACGCAGAAGCTTTTGTCTTTTTAACGAACAAAAATAGAGTACTAAAATTGAAAGGAGACAAATAATTTGAAGAGTGATAAAAAAGGATGTCCCATCGCTTTAGCTCAAGGTTAAGAGAATACATATAGGAACATGAATATGAATATAGGTACGAAAATAGTAATCCATATAAATAACAATATGAATAGGATTATTGAATATGAATAGGAATAAGATATTGAATATGAATTTGAATTTGAATAGATATGCGAATATTAAAATTAATATGAAGAAGCATATGAATATGAATATGCATACGGATATGTATATAAAAAAGAATTTCAACATGAATATTAATATAAATATGATTACGAATATGATTACATATGAATAGGAAATTGAATATTAATAAGAACATGAATATAGCTTTGGATACGTGATGTGTATCGAAAAGATATTGATTATGAACACGAATATAAAATTGAATACGAATATGGCTATAAATATGTATATGAATATGAATATGTGTATGGATATCAATATGTGTATGGATATGAATATGTATATGGATATAAATATGTTTTATGGGCATGAATATGAATGTGAAAATAAATGTAAATGGGAAAATAATGCATCCGAAATGCGAATTACGATATATAATATTGTTATTCATATCGATAAAATATTATCGATTGTTATACAAGATTTGAGCGATTGATAGTAATGGTATTGTTATTCATATCGATAAAATATTATCGATTGTTATACAAGATTTGAGCGATTGATAGTAATGGTCAAAACATAATAAAACAATGCCCATGCACAAATATATTAAGAAAATATCGATTAATTGCACGATGTCGATAAATTAATCGATAAGTGTATCGAAAACGATAACGAATATGTTTATTTACTATCTGAAAAAGTGAATAGATTACAATTATGAGATATCGAGAGATCGATTGCTTCATGGAAAAATCTACAGAGTAAGCGTTAGGTTAGTTTAGGTTTTGGCTAGTTAGGCTGCTGAAGAGAGTGAAGGCAGTGAACTTCTTCCCGTATGGATTGAAACTGAACGGTAGTATTGGTGGAGGGGTATTCTGTCCAGAGGATTCCATCAGTACTGAGTTCACGCTGCCAAACTGCTGTCAAGGAGGTGAGCATTTATTCTGATAGCCAAGCGGCTATCAGGGACTTAAGTGCGTTGGAGATGCGCTGTAATTTGGTTAAGGAATGTTTGCCCTCTCAATCTCTCAGTTGCGTCGGAATACTTCTGTATTAGGCTGTTTTTTTGGTTACGAGTCAAAGCGGCACAGCGGGAAACTGTGTGGCTGACGAATTGGCTGGGAAAGGTACTCTTGAAACGTTATCGCCGGATAAAGAGCGGCTGGGGGTGCGATTGATTACTTTTGGTACACTCTTGGCTAAATGGGCGTTATGTCAGCTCAGCTAGTGCTGGACAGAAACCAGAACATTGACAATGGCAAGGTCCTTCTGGCCGAGGGTGGACGGGTACGGTCGAAGGCACTCCTTATACTTAAAAATAGCGGATTTTTACGGGTCACTGCCCAATCGGTATTCATGCAGTAAGGTTGAACGTATTACCTTATCTTGTATGTCACAGTTGCCCGAAAGAAAATACGGTGGAATCACTTCACCGCTATCTTCTTAGGTGCCCAGCGTTTACAAGGCTTAGGCTAAAGTACTTTAGCTCTAACATCCTGAAAAGCCCCGAGGAGCTCTAGGGCATTGAGATTAAGCGAATTCGTAAGGCATCTTATCGATTAAGTATGAGGTGCGGTCCATAAAGTGGTATCACAAATTATCTAAGTGAGTCTCTGACACATGAAGCTGCCACCTAACCTAGATTAGTTTGAGTTAAACTGGCCGCTATTGA